AGAGACACCCCATGTGACCATAGGTGTGAGGTGAGGGGAAGGTGCTCATACAACAGTAGTAGATATCATGAAGGATCTGCTCTACTTGATTGTGTAACTGATTGTGCCTTCCAGTTTTGCTTGTACTTAATCCCGTATATAAAAACTTGTTTTTGGACCCATCTTGTTGTTGGGCCTGCCCAACCTTATACCTTGATGGAGCTAACACTCAGCTTGCGATGGGCAGAACAGGCTGCATGGTCACTTGATGGCCTATAGTCAGGCATTCCATCTCTACCAAGATGCAATAGCATGCCAGGAGCTGTTTTTTAAAAGTATATAATTCATCACTGCCTGTGACGTGGCTTTACTCTACAATCCCAGCTGACTAAATTGTGCTTTTCTCAGAGGGGCGTGCCAAAACTGCACATAGTATCTTTTACCAACACAGATACTTCTAATACCATAAGGGTAAAGTGGCAGGATGGCTTACAACTGAATTCTAAAACCGCTATGCATCCTTCTACTCTACGCACACTCAAAACTAGCAGTTTTGTGTTACTCACTACACGGGGTGAAATAGTAATTCCAGGTGTAAATGTGCTGCTTCCAGAACCCAAAGATGCCTACCAGGCATTGAGCATCCTTCTCTGTAAAAGAGGTGAAAAATGCCTAATTTGTCATTTAATACTTTGAAGAGTAAAGGAGATCCTGGCATTTCCCACACTATTCAACTCCTAAAAATTACACTTAATGTGGCCAGCCCCTGGATCTCTGTAGGGTTTGTCTCCCATGTTCTGTAGTACATGTTTCTTACCAAAGCCTCCAATGCGCTAGCCCATTCTAACTCATTTTGGTCCAATCAGCACAATGGCATGAACATAGTGGACTAGTATTCTATTCTGAAAGATGCGCAATGGTCCAGATCTCTTCAGACAATATTATAACAAAGAATGTAAGAGTTAGTAGTTCACAGAAGAAAAACTACAAATTCATAGTGTTGTCTATCCTATGTAAATACAAACTTTTTATGATTTTCCATTGTGATATGGATAGGAAAACCACACTTTCCTAAATCAATAGCTGAATACAAGGTACCTAAGTCCATGTTAATCTACTCTAGCAAAGAAACCACATCTGGCATGGCCATTGCAATAGTCTTAATACTTGGTTGAGTGTGTAATAATCTACTATCATCCACCAGGCTCTTCCCGCATTTTGCAGAGGGTAGACTAGTGAATTAAATGTAGATCTGATGGAGACCACACCACCAAATTCTCTACATCTTCAAAGATGGCACTGATTTCCGCCATTCCTCCCCTCAAGTATGTGTTTTCACTTACTATCTTGGCCATGGAAGGGGAGGGCAAGTTTAGAAGTTTCCACTTGACCTTTTCATGTATAAATAGTTCTCACTCCACAGGCAAGGAACTACTGCATAGCTTGTACCAATTACCAACTATGTATATTCCAATTATGTATTCAGAGATCAGGAAAATAACCAGAGTGGGTCTATAGATCCACTGGACCCACCGTGAGCCAGACTTAGGCCAGGATCCCATTTAATTTTTTAAATTGTTTTTGCTTTTTTATACAGATAGGGTCTCACTATGCTACCCAGGCAGTCTTGAACTCCAGGCCTTAACTGATCTTCTGACCTTGGCTTCCCAAAGTGCTGAGATTACAGGCATGAGCCATCATGCCTGGCCCAGAATCTCATTTAATATCTGGCTCCTATATATAGCCCCCCATTCTATCCTGAGGGCCATTATAACACTAGGTCTCTGGGTGCCAATATCAAACCAGAACTAGTGTCCATCTGTCCTCAAAATGTCTGGGTATTCTTCTTTCCTTGGCATACAGCTACCTGAATAAATGGAGGGACTGGAGGACTCATTAGTATTCGTGCGTTGTAGGGTCCTTCTTCCTGGCACTCAGCCTTCAGTGTGCAGCAGATCAAAAACCGACTTAGGACCTGAAGCTAGGCAAGAGATTGGGACTTTTTACTGAGACAACTTCCTTTAGACTCTCAACCATCTTTGATTTCTTTGGATTCTACAGATTGTGTACAGATTGTTGGTTGCTAATTTTCCCCAGGATCTGGGTTATACCCCCCCAGGAGCACTGTGTCCTACTAACCATCTCCATAGTTCTCTTCAGGAGAAGGCCTCCCTGTTGGCACTCTGACCCTGCAGGTATTTGCATCCACATGATTTTTTTTTTTGAGATAGAGTTTTACTCTGTCACCCCTCCGTAGCTCACAGCAACCTCAAACTTTGGGTTTAAGCGATTCTCTTGCCTCAGCCTCCCTAATAGCTGGGACTACAGGCGCCTCCCCTCCCCCGCCCCACAACACCTGGGTATTTTTTTTTTTTTTGAGACAGAGCCTCAAGCTATTCCCCTGGGTAGGGTGCTGTTGCATCACAGCTCACAGCAACCTCCAACTCCTGGGCCCAAGCGAGTCTCCTGCCTCTGCCTCCCAAGTAGCTGGGACCACAGGTGCCCGCCACAACACGTGGCTATTTTTTGGTTGCAGCTGTCACTGTTGTTTGGAGGGCCCAGGCTGGATTTAAACCCGCCACCTTAGGTGTATGTGGCTGGCGCCTTAGCCACAGGTGCCACAGGAGCCACAGGTGCCGAGCTGGGTATTTTTTGTTTGTTTGTTTAGCAGGTCCTGGCCAGGTTTGAACCCACCAGCCCCAGAGCATGTGGCCAGCACCCTAACCACTGAGCTGTGGGAGCCCACATCCACCTGACTTCTGAGAGTTAAGTGCAGCCATCCTGCTTCTATTGTTTCAGAGCCATCACCATTTCTATCAATGACTCTCATTCCTTAACATCCTCTCCTACTGTGAGCCCTGGGCTGCAGAGAAGAGCCATCCCTGAACTTCTTAGTGATGATGGAGCCCCTCTCACCACTGTATTCCTTACAGCTTCAGTAAGTGGTGTGTCCTTTAGGCCCTGCAGAATATAATTTTCTGGAAGATTTTCTGGCCTTATACCTTATATTTATTCTAACATTCCCACTTCTCTGAGTTTTCTCTGAGTCTTTCATCCTGTTTTCACCATCTGCTATGGCAATTCTGGCATTTACACTTCACTTCATATGGACTGTTTCTTTTCTATACTTTAAGGAGCCATCCTAATAGTGAGCTCATGTCATCAACTGGGATCTTTGCCAGGATGTTAAATCCTGTATCCTGGGAGAGTACTCTCAAATCTACTCATTCTTTCATATTCAATTTTATATTCCAG